GGGTAAACGGATAGCTGGGAACACGCTCCGCACAGACACAACAGCAGCAGGGGGTGGAAAAAGTTCCAAACAAACCTTTGAATTCCAATTTTCCAGCATAATGCTGAATTTATAGATAGATAGCTGTGCCCTTTTGAARGAACAAGCACCAAGACAGAAAACGAATTAAAATTTAATCTTATTGATTTCCACCAGCTCAATCTCAAGAGCAAGACAGGCACTGCTGCTGCTGCTGCTTCCACCGCCTGCGCTGCATCAAACTCAGTTTTTCCGAGGGCTGACAGCARAGCAGGGATGGGCTGGCAGGGATGTGGCTCCTGGCACCCACAGGGGTGACGTGGGGCACGGGGCATGGCTGTGGTGGGTCACAGCACGAGGTGTCCCCTCGCCGGCGCGGCGGCCAGGGTGAAATCACGCCACGTCCTGACGCGACCTCTCCGTCCCGATAAAGGAGCGCAGTGTTTCARGGGAAGATGACGTGTGCTGGTTTGTGGGGACAGGAGAATGGAGATGCTGCTCTCCCTCCAGCCCCCCACACCCTGAGAGTGGGAGATGGGCACCACAGAGGGCAGGGAGATGGCACCWCTGCGTGGGAGCTGATGGGGACTCGGGGAGAATTCACCCAGCAAGCCACGGTGGGCTGGTGGACTCAGCTTCCTCCAGCACACACTGCCAGGGCTCATTCTTTCCCTGAATCCCAGGAAAGGCACAGAGCATCGCTGATCTCCTCCCTGCACTTCACAAGGGACTTGGAAATTTGTGTTCAAAGCATAAAAACATCTTCCAGTCCAGGTATGTGYGATGGATTTCAAGGGAAGGTGGATACAAGGAATCCCGTGAATGGCCCAGTGGAATAAAGCTGCCGCTAAAAATACACACAGATGATCTGTCCTGGTTATGGCATCTGAGGTGGAAGAAAGCTGAATTCTGTCCATACAATAACACATCCCAGAGGTGCAAATTAAAGCCCTCGAGGAGGCTGTGTCACACAGCCACCACCTCTGAGGTGCCAGACCCAGCAGAGATCAGCTTTCCTCCGCAGGGGAGACACTAAAATTGCTCACGGGGTTTAATTTAGGAGATCCCCAACGCCTCCATCACTGCCAGCCTCTGGAGCAACTGAGGCATCCATCCCAACCTGATTATTCCTGTGGCACCCTGCCAGCACCCGGCTCCTGGGCACCCTGCAGCCAAAGCGGCCCCCTGAGCTTCCCACGGCATTTTTCAAACTCAAATTGCTCTTGGCAATTCTAGCCCCCATAATTGTTTTCAAACCTCATTTTATTTCTTTAAGGACTGAACACACTTTTGAAAATAGGACTCAGCACTGCCCACTGGCTGTTCTCAGGTTAGTCCACGGACAGTACAAAAAAACGTTAACTCTCATTCTCACAAATCCTTTCAGAAATGGTACAGTTGGCACGCAAAATTGAATTTTTGGCTCAAATGCACAAATGGGTGTTTTTCTGTGTTAACATGCAAAGGTTTTCCAAAAATTTTGCACATTTTTGGGTGCAACTTCACAGCTCCTCCCTGGAGACATGATAAAATGGCTCTGGTCAGCACAGAGCAGGGGAGAAGGCACCTGCATATTGATTTATCAACTGCTCCTCTACAATCCAAGTCCCCTAAAAGCTGCCCAAATGCTACCACAGCCTCATAGTGCAGGATTTGACTGCAGCCAAGAGCAGCTTCCCTCCACTCTTCCCCAGCAGAATCGGTACAGTCGCCTTTTTTTTTTTCTGGAAATCAATTACATGTCCAGCAGAGTGTGGCAAGAGGGGATTACAGGTCACATTTTCCATAATTATCCTCTCTGACACCGAGGAACTTTTCAAATCGCACGCGTTAAGTAGGTCACAAGAGGGAAYGGCAGCATGATGGGCATTTAGCACCGGCAAACCCGAATTTGGGAGAAAATCGGATCCAGCCCAGCGCCGCCCTCATCCCAACCCCTCATCCATACGCAGCGCRGCGGTGAGAAAAATATATAGACTTCCCTGATGAACCATAAGCTAAAATTAGAAACCATTCACGCCTGCAAAGCCACAGCTATCGCCAAAAGGAAAGTAGGTCACAGAATGGCTGGCTAACTTGATTTTCCAGCGTTTCTAGCTGCTGTGTCCTCACGTAACCTCTCGTCTCCCATGGAGTGTTCCTGGTGTCTCCTTTGTTTGGGGTATGAGTGCTGGCAGTGTGTGGCTCCGGCACAGCCTGGCAGYGGCGGTGGGAACGGGCACGGCAGCGCCCGCGTGCTCGGCCAAGCACAGACCCACATTTGACAAAACGCTGAGCCCGGGCCAGGAGGAGCCCCTACACAGAGCCTCCCACCTGCTCTGGGATTGGCACAAGGGCTGGCTTGCTGCCCCTTGCACAGCATTGCTCGTTAAAGATCATTTCAGGCTTTGCCAGCACTTCTGGGGTGCTTTCCTTTCTCGCCTCCTCCTGAGACCTGAATATCCTCTTTTTATTTGCATTTCTTACCGTGCGCTGCCTCCCTCGAGCGAGCCACAARCCAAGCGATGCGAGTAAATCCGGCTTTCCTTCCTTTTGTGCATGGGCTGGAGCCCWGGCTCAGCCATTACTGATGCTTTTCCCACAAGCAGACCTCGAGGCATCAACTTCACTGCTTTTCCACGGCACACAAGAGGCAGAGAGGCTTAAAATTTGGCTCAGTGAGCCAAAATTCCCCACTCTAGATCAATACGTGTCTMTCTGGCTTGCAGCCCTGTGCTCCTACCAAGTCACCTTGCCACTAAGCACAAAGCTGCAGGTCAGGAGTGTTCGGGGCTCTCCCACATTCACAGACACCTGGAGACCCCTGGAGGATCTGCTGCCATCAAACCCACCCCATATCCCACCACCAGCCTTTTCCACCACCATCTCAACTGACACTAGTCCCAAGACACTTCCTCTTCCAGCATTCCTCCTGCTGGCTCCACAGGAAGAGCAGTTGCCACTAAAATTCATCCCAAATACATTCAGTACACAAGAGGCTGAAAGCTGAGCTGTGAATGTTCTTYAGAAGGGCAATTACCTCCTGGAATTCCCTTCCCCTCACAGCCACAGCTCAGCCTGTCCCAGCTGTGGCTCTGGAAAGGTTCCTTCCATCCCCCAGCCTCATCCATCACAATTGGCAGGGATTCTATCTGTCTGTCAGCTCCCTGCTGCCCATAGAGAGATTCTGCCTTCTCCAAAGGAGGAACCTGCCTGCAGCCTGCTCTGGTTTCTGTCACCAAAGGGAAGGTTGGTTGGTTGGAGTCTCCAGCCCACAGGCAGGCTCACTCACACGCTACCCACAAGGGGACTTTACAGGAACAGGGAAGAATCATCATTTGTCCATCCCTGGGATCATTCAGACACGAATGTGAAACCAGATTTGAAATTACACAAATATTTGGTGACCAAAGTGGCCTCTGCTTGCTGAGCAGCCTGCAATGAGCGCAACCATCACAAAGATTGGGGGTGAAACTCCTGGCCCCAAGCTGGCTKAGGATCAGCCTAATGCTGGCAAAGGGATGCCACCAGCTCTGGGCACTGTGTGTGACTGTGTCCCAGGTGAACTTTCAAGGAGAAATGTAGAACTCCGTGCCTGCCCTCCACAATCTCTGCCATCACCCATGGGACAGGGCGGCAATGCCAAGGGACCACCCTGAGGGGTGGTGAGGCTTGGGGAGCAGATCCTGTCTGCTGTGGAGAAGGTGGTGATTGTCACAAGAGGTGACAAAGCAGGACAGGGGTGTGGCAGGACATCCAGCCCTGAGCCAGCTCCAGCTAAAGGGATTTGCTCCAACGCAGGCTGTGGGTATGGGGATGGCTGAAGATCACCTCTCCCTTCTGCTTCACCACCATCACCCATCTCTTCCCCTTGTAACGTGGTTCAGCTACACAAGAGTGCCCAAGGAGGATGGGGTTCAAGGGAACAGGAATAAAAACATTTGAGAGCTCTTCTATTTTGAGCCTCCCCCCTTGCACAGGAGGCACAAACCATCTAGCCCAAGACCCCCAGAGAGGGCTGGTGGTGASAATGGCTCTGAGGAACACTCAGCACCTGCCCCAAAGCCCAGTGCTGGAAGCCATCACCAGCTGGTGCTTTGCTAATGCTTCAAACACATCGACCTCAGCCTCACCCACTCACAACAGCGCCGGGTTCCCTACTGCTCAGGGAGAGAAGCAGATGGGAAAAGGAAAACCAGGAAAATTGCACTGCCTGGGAGAGCAGGGTAGGCGATTTTTTTTTTTTTTCTTTTTAGGAGTCAGGCACCTGGATTTCTGCAGCTCCCAGTGAAATCGCAGGCCTCGCAATTCAAAATAATTAGCGACTGGTAGTTTTCCTTTTATGCAAAATCATCCTTTTTATCCAACACCTAAATGAAAATGAATATGCTTGATTATCTACCAAAGGGCCCAATTTCTGAGCATCGCTCCGATGCACACAGCAAAATTCATCTCTCCTCGGGCTGCTATTACAGGCAGCGGCTGATAAATGAGCGGTCAGGCAGAGATCCAGAGCCAGGGATGCCAGCCTGACCTTTGCTAATGCTATTTACAGCATCAAATATCCACAGATCCAGCCATGGCTGCATCCACATCCTTTCTGCTCCAGCCTGGGGGGTCAGGGGCAGTCAGGAGAGCTCATTGCTGGCCTGCCAGAACCAGAGCACCACCATGTAGCCCACCCACCACACCAAAGCCCACCCTTTGAGGCAGCTTTCAACGAGGTTCAGTCCCAAAGGAGAGGATGAAGCAAACTAATTAACAGAGAGAAGTCTGAAGCATCTCTTGAACGCTTCATCTCAAAGGCTGATCACAGGAAACCCCCCAGGCAGGTTCTGCAGAAGATTTTAGCGTTCATCTGCAASGCAGAGAGAGGCACTCATGGCTCAGCCCTCTGTGGTCTGACAGGGCTCCATCTCTCCCAGAGATGGAGGAAAATGCCACAGCTGGCCCTCACCAAGCTCCCCATCACACGTTTGTGCTTCCATYGCCTCCACACTCACCCTGTTCTCGTCGTAGATGATCTGCACCAAGCTGCGATGTTTGGACTCGATAGGAGGGGGAGAGATGGGTTTTTCAGGCTCTGGTGGTTTGGCTGCTTCTTCCTCCAACTGTTGCTGTGGAAGGAGAGARGGGGGAGGAGGAGGGTGAGTCACAGCGAGAAACGCAGCCGTCCCTGTCCACACGAGACTCTCTGTGGTGCCGTGACCGAGGCAGAAACCGCCATGGTAGGAGACTTCCTGCGAGGAACGGGCAGGCTGGGGCTGGGGAGGGACGGCGAGAGGGAGGAGAGCTCACGGCAGCCCCTGCCACGCAAGCGCAGCGCCCGCCTGCCCCAGGCACCGGCCCCGTGCTCCTGGGCCCGGGACTTTGAGGCATGGAGGATGAGGACCTGCCTCAAAGGAGCCTCCTGGAATTGGCCTGCAGCTAGAAATAACGATTTTACTGGGAACGCTTCAATGAAACCACAGCTCCAGCCCGGCTCCCTGCTGCTACCTGCCTCTGGAGCTGCTGCGTGCCAGCGAGGGGTGGAGGAGCCAGGGCTGACCTGCGAGGCTGCTCTCCACCTCCAGCTTCACCTCCTGATGGAGTGCTTGGAGGAGATGCCTTAGGATGACTGTTCCCAATTAAATGACTCGTGCACCAAGCCACCCCTGCRCTTGGCAATATCACCGTGGTCAGCGGGCAAACCTGACATTCCACCTGCACCCACAGCTCTCCCAACCGCTGTCGGGCAGGAGGAGACATCCCAGCCCTTCCTGAGGAACTGCTCAGCTGAAAGAGGAAATCACAGATTCCTCCTGGGGCCAGCCTGTGAGGAGGGAGAGCGCAGCCGTGCGCGGCAGCTGCGGGGCAGCACAGGCACAGGAGAGGGAGCGGCTGTCAAAAAACGCTGAGAGTTTTTTTCCCTGCTTGGCTCTGAATCTCCAAATCTTTGTACTTTTTTTTTTTTTTCCTGCAGCTAAAGCATCCCCTGTTGAAACATGAGGAAAATTGAGCGAGTCTTGTACTAGGAAGGAAATTCTCCCAGGATTTGGCTTGCACCGGAGGCGAGCACGCTGCTGATCCCCCAGAGATGGCCTGAGGTGAAGATGGGCTCCTYTTCCTCCTCCCCATCATCTCTGCTCCTGCTGATGACATTTTCAGCACACCAGGGCAGTAGGATGCAGCCCAAGAAAGGTCTAATGGCTTGGCTGAGAAAATTCACGCTCCTAAAATTGCGTTTCAATGGACGGAGCACCCCATGCTGTGGACAACACCTCCCCATAGACGGATACCTTCCCCCATGGAGGGAAGAATAACACAGGGAACACTGAGATACAGCCAAAAAGCTGCTGTTGCTGGCCAGAGTGGCGAGCAGCTCTGGCAGAGGCAGGAGAGCCATGGTCCATAAATTGGCATCACCATCAGCCACCAGTGAGAAGAGCCAGGAAATGCCCAGGAAATGCCCAGCTGAGCCATCTGTGCCCCGACAGGGATCCTTCCCCTCCTGCCTGCCAACAGCCACACCCCAGGCTGCAGCCACAGCAACAGCCCCAAGAACAGCTGCTCTCAACCACGGCCACATCTCAGGTGGCCCAAACCACAGCACAAGGGACAAGAGCTCTCTGGGAAACCATGGCTGAAACCATGAGCTGCAGAGCTGCATTTGGGATCAGCCCTGGCACAGCAACAGCTCTTCCCTGGTGTCCTCCTAARGCATCCTATCCTCACTCCCATGGGATAAACTCCACAAACTCCAAAGAATGAGCCAGCAAAAAAGATCAGACACATCTTCTCCTYCTCTTGGGGAAAATGTTTGTGTTTAAAAAAGAAAAAAAAAAAAAGTCAAAGCATCCAAAACTTGACTATATTGTTCTGGAAACCCACAAGAATTCTGCCAAGTGGTCGGGTGTGTAGCAAGGGATTTCAGACAAGAGGGTTTGATGGYCTATCAGGAAACGAAAGTTTGCCACTAAGTGGAGGCTCATTAAAAACAGCTCATTAGAAGAAAAAATACAAATCTAATTATAGCTGAAATACAGTAGAGAATTCCACTCTGTATGGCTATTAAAGGGCCAGATTCCTGGGCAGGGATGCGAGGAGGGGCTGCAGGCAGCACACCTGACTGCAGCCTGCGACAGCTCCTCCTGGGAGCCRTGGGAAATGGCAAAGCAAAATAGGTCAGGGTTCCCAGACAGGGACAAAATGGATTTCTTAAAGGTCTGCCACAAAAGCCAGGCTGGGACTGTGACCTTTACAGGGAGAAAAGCAGGATGAGAGATGAGGCTTGACGGCTCCACACTCCCTCCCTCCTCCCAAGGTTGCCCAAGACCTCCCTGCTCTGCCCAAATGGGAGAAGGGACGAGAGATGCCATCAGTGGGAGAGGTGCCCTGTTCTGGAAAGAGCTCCTTTGGCTGGACCATGTGCTACAGAGGCAGCACAGGAGCCTGCAGCGCTGGTGGGAAGGTGGGTGGCATYTCACCCATCACACCTGGGCACTGGGATGCTTCCTCTGCCCAGGGAGAGGAGAGGATTCAGCTGAAAAACACTTTCAGRCACAGGGCATCGCTGAAAAACACTTTCAAAGCCACGAGGGGAGCAGACAGAAAGCTCAACCCGATGGAGGGGAAGGCCTGGAGCTGCTCCACGGCTGCACCTCCATCACCAGGTGGGAGTGTTGTACTCCCGGAGAGAGAGCCCTTGGCTGAGCTCAGCGCCCGAGCGGAGAACAGCCCAGCAGTTCATTTCTCCTTCAGATCCCCGGTACTGCTGCCAGGAATAAATGCATAAGGATTATCCTTCCCTGTCAGGAAGAGGGGGAGAGAGGACTCGGCGAGAGATTGAAGCGCATATGGCGCATGAATGAGCGGGGGATGGCTGACGGAGGTGGCCTCCTGCCAGGGGTGTGCAGGGTTTGGGGAAGGTTTCTCAGCTTGCTGAAGACGTTTGCTTCTTGCAAAGTCCAGGCAGAGCCTTCCCTGCCATTTTTGGAACAACCAAAAAGAGAGAGAGATGGTGGATTGCGGTTGGTTGGGATTTTTTTTTTTTTTTTGCACAGCCTTTCCATACGAATGTATTTAATTACCCCAAGAAGGCCTCCCAAACACAGAGGGGAAAGGCATTAGGATATTCCAGCTGCATACCACTTCTCCCCTGCTCCACTGACATTCCTGCAGGAGCAGGATCTGTTCCAGGCTCGTTGCTTTCCCTCACTTGTCCTCCTGCACTGACAGCTCGGATGCACAGATGCACAAAACATTCCCAGAGCATCCCAGACAGGATCCCCTGCTCCAAAAACACTTCTTCCCAGATGTGCCAGCTCTGCTGGAGGACTGGGATGGGGAAGGCTCCAGGCAGAGGGGGAAGGAGGCTGTATTTGAGGGGATCAGTTTTGCTACCAATAGACTTTGCCATCATGCACCAAAAAAGAAAAGAAAATAAATAAAAGGAGAGAAGGGGACACTTGTACTGCCAACAGCCACTTTCACCTTCTTCCCCATTTAACAGAGCGTTTTTGTGGGCAGGGAGAATCATAAAATTTGTTCATTGGGAAGAAATAAATCAACTAAGCAGCCAACAATAAAAACCCCATTTCCTTATGGAAGGACAGTTTGATTTTAACAGCAAGGAGCATCCCTGAAAAATGAGGCAGAGGACCATCAGAACTGCCATGAGAGGACCTTCCCTGCCATTCCAGGCACAGATCCCACTTGGGAATGCTTTTTCCAGAGCAGGAAATGACCGTGGTTTGCATCTCTTTCCTCAATTGGGAGTAAAAAACACGGAACAGCAGCCAGACTGCCAGGTGGGACAGGACACCAACACTTCCTCTGAGCTTCCCAGGAGGGAGAGGGGAAGGGATGCCTTTGCCCRGCTCCCACCAAAACCAGCAGGAGGAACCTGAGTGGTTTCCAGGGCTCAGTTGTTCCTCTGTGAGCTGGCACACAGGGCTGCTGCCTCACACCCTGGCACAGCTGCTTCTGCCCAAGCCTGGATTCCTCTCCCTGAGCACTCAGACACCTCTGCAGGCAGGGCCAGGAAAGGATCCTTCCCATTAATGAATCCATATTGTTTGAAAACATTCCTGCTTTGTCTTGCAGGACAGGAAGGAACTGTGTTTGGTATGGCAGAATGTAGATGTGATGGGGAAGATCCAGCACACACTCATTCCCAAGGAGCTTTAACAAACAGCCCAAGCAAAGGTTTTGCYCCATTCCCAAATTTGTGCTGCAGCTACAACCCCTTGGGAAAGGTCATTCCTCTCAGCAGCCATCAGAGAGTTCAGAAACTCACCCCAAGCAAAGGAAACAAAACAACCAGAAAGAAAGAGGCAAAGAAGTGATTTGCTTTAAGAAGTGAAAGCCCTTAAGTCTGTGGGTTTTTTCACAGATGTCCCTGAAGGTTTTGTCATATTAATCTTTTAATGGGTTTATGATAATTGTGTACAAGCCAACAGTGAGTGGGCCATGCTTCTAATGGGGAGTGCTCCTGTGCAGGGTAAAGCTCAAGCAGGAAGATCAGATTCAAATCCCTGCTCAGGCACAGCCCTGACTGGAGCCGGACCAGACACTGGAAAGCTCCAGAGAAAGGGGTCTGGAGGAACTGGAAGGGCCATTTGGTCAGTGCAGCAATGCTTTAAACAGCCCAGTACTGAACACTGGCAGCAACAACAGCACAGGGGAGACACAGCTGCTGGAAACGAAAAAGAAAAACCTTGTACTGCATTGTACAGACAGCTCAGACAGCCCAGGCTGTGCTTCCCTGGCATATCCACTGCCAAGTCACTGAGGACACATTTTTCTCCCTTTCACGTTCTCTGACATGCAAAGAGCCCACAAGCTGGGTGCACAAAGCTCCTTCATCTCGCCACTGCCAGCTCCAGCCTGGCAGAGAGCAGACCCTGCTCATGTCCTGAGAGCAGCAGGGACACWGATGATGGTGTGGGCAAGGACAGCGCCTGTGGCAGCGTGCAGAAGCAAAAACACACATTCCCCTCCACACCACAGCCTCTTACCTGCTTCTTCTTCAGCTTGGAGATCTGCTGCTCCACCATGGTGATCTCGCGGTCCACGCGGTCCATGTTCTGGATCAGCTCCTCCTTGGACAGCCGGGCGGGCAGCAGCTCCAGCTCGGCGTCAGGGTGAGCCGGGCTCACGGGYGACACGGGCTCCAGCTTGCCAGGCAGGCCACGATCCTGGGAACCATCAAACAGCCACATCATCTCTCTCCCAGCAGACTCTGGATCCTTCTCTCATCCTCCCACAGCTCCCTGGCCCATTCCCAGCGTTCTGAGACACATAAAACCCTCACAAAAACCTGCTAGACTGGGGAGTACCAGCTGTCAGATCACATCACCACCGTGCTCAGCAACCCCCAGCATCTCCAGGTTAYTCTCCCAGGGACAGACAGCAGCTCTTCCTCCTGACAAAGCTCAGAGGCCCCCACCACCGTGAGTGCTGCTCACATTCCTACAGGATCAATAAACCCATCCATATTCAGCAGCACTGTCCCTTCACAGGGCTCAAGGCTGCAAATTCTCTTTTTGCATCTGCAAAAATGAGGCACCACAGTCACGTCCTCCCCGGATACAGAGAGAGATGGGAGCAGCATTAACCCTGAATGATAGCAGGGTTATTCAGCAATAACCCTGATGCTGAAGGAAAAGGGGCTATGAGGGCAGACCCTGAGAAGAAAGAGGGCTCCCAGCTCCTTCATGGAGGTCTTCCTCCATCTCCTCCTAAACTCTGGGGATACTCTGAGTGCTGGATGTTGAACGCATCCACCCAAATATGGAGAGAAAGGGGAGAGGTGAGTCAGGATAAAAATAGACCAAGCTGACATTTTTCAAATTCCAGGTGAAGAGGCTCTCAGCTCAACAAGACCCTTCAAGCAGAGACTGGAAAGATCAGCAAAAGCTCCGTGGCCATGACAGAGAGCAGCTCTGGTGGCCCAGGGCTGAGAGGGAAAACATCCAGCTTTGTTCCCAGCAATGAAACAGCTTTGCTGAGCYCTGGGAGCACCGTGCAGCCCCACAGCTCCCTGCAAAGGAGCCCATTCAGGGACACACCTGGGGTGAAGCAGCTCTTGAACAGCACCGGCCACACAGACGGGGATCACTGCACTCCACCAGCCTCCCCAGCACAGGACACTCCTCCCTGGCAGCCACCCAACACCTTAATTAAAAGTTTATCTATTCGTTAGCTTAGTGAGTGGATGGATTTCTGTTCCTGGAGGGGGAGGAGAGGAGCAGTGGCTCCATCTGTAACCCTAAACCGCTGCCAGGATGGGCGGCCAGCASGCTGCAGCTGCTGCCGAGGGGAGGGGAGCCATGGGGGAGGAAAACCAGGCAAGAAGTTCACAGAGCTTTGCCACCTCCATCACAGCAGACCTGTGCAAAGCCAGCACTGTTCTCCTTGGTCATCTCCACAGTCACCAGGATGGTCCTCCTGCCATGATGGAGTTTGGATGGTGACATGTGGTCCCCTCTGTGCTCTCCCATCAACCATCACCATCTCCCATCTGCCATCACCAGGCATGGGAATGGCTGCTCTGAGAGTGCAGACACCACYCTGGCACTGCTGGGCATCTCCACACATCTGCTGTGACCTGTGATCCACCCTGTCCCTGCTGAGAGCACCCTGGGGTCACCAGTGCCCTTCCCATTGCTTCCATCAGGGAAGGGAGCAAAGGAGAACCCCAAAACGCTGCTCTCACTGTCCAACCCCAGGAGCACAGAGGCACCAGAAGCATAAAAAAACCCACATTATCTCTCTCCCAGGCTGTATATATTATATCTTTCCTATGTTGTGTCCAGCATCCATTCAGAAGAGAAATYAGAAGAATGTGAGAGCTCTCTGGAGACTCCTAAAGAGAAGATCCCATCTTGTTTTACTTTCCTGGCATTAGACATCAAAAGTGGTCAGTCTGTGGCAGTGAGAAGGCTTTGTGTTCTCCACAAYTGGGTTTGGKTTTTTTTGTGGTTTTGTTATTTTTTTCAAGTCAAGAGGAGCAGGACAACCACAAGAAGCAAAAATAAATGAGGTGCTCATGAAATCTCATTCAGATTAAGGCACAGGAAGGGGAAGGGGAAGTGGCAGTGGCTCCTAGGGTGGGTTTTTTTAAAGGAAAGGAAGCTACCTGCCAAAAACACAAGAGAGAAAGGCTCCTTTCTGCACACGAAACAAATGGTACACTCCCACGGCTGMCAAGATGGAAGACAGGGCATCTTTAAACTTCTGCTTGGCACAAAACCCCTTGGAAATCTGGTTCCTGATACATTTTTGGCTTTTTACCTTGCASAATCTGAAGCAAAAGAGCAGCAAAGCTGAGTAAGGCAAATAGCTGCATGTCACAGCACAAACATCATCATCATCTGTTATTAGGAGATGATTATGGCAATAGGGAGAGGCAATGTCCTTGGACCTCACAWACTGGGCACTGACATGTCACAAACACCTCTCTAAATCAACAAAATGACAAGCAGCAAAAAGATAGAAAAAAACAAAACCAAAGGCAAGAAATAAAATCTTTCCTGTGCAGCAGCGACATCCAAAAAGCAGAGCTCAGGGATTAATTCAAGCATGAGGAAGCCCTTCTAAATCACAAAAATGGGTTGAAAAGAGGTTTGCAAAGACCAGAGTYCACTCAGAGCACGGGGCAGACCCCGATGGTCAAAGATATTTCAACTAGTGCTCTGCTTCCTACAGCTCTCCAGAAACCCTCAAAATACATTCCCCCTGAACAAGTGCAGCGTGAAACGTGAAATTCTTCTTATTAACGTGAAGTCACAGACTTCCAAAGCAGCAAGAGCCGGGAGAGCTGGAATAAATCTGCTGGAGGGAAGAAAACAATTACTGCATTACTCAAGTTGATATTTTCTCAGTAATTATACTGTTTCCATGTGATTTGTTTTTACACACGGTTAACAGCTACCACRGCTCCTGTTTATCCCCGGCCTTGTTTTGTGATTTATCTGGCAACGAGGGTGGGTGTGAGGGGGCAGAGGCTGCACAAACCTCCCCGCAGCAAGAGGAGGTGCTGGCACTGAGGAAAACAATTATCACTGAGGAGCTTGTCAAAGAGCAAGGCCAGGCTTTGGGGTGGGTTTCTTCTACGTGGAATTAAAATTAAAATTCCCAGCATAGATAATGGAGCAAGYCTGTTATTTGCTATTAGGCAGTGACTTTAAAAGCATGCAAAAAGGAGAGGAGGGAAAAGGATAAGCCAGCTGCCCGCTGGTGCGTTGAAAAGTCAATCTGCAGGTAAATCTGCCATCCCTGCTTTCAGACTAACAAGAAAAAATTACAGTGGGATTAGCCAGCGTGGTCCCAGGACACAGCAGAACCTGCACCAGCCCATCTCCACCTGCTTGTTTTGCATTATTGCCCCAGCTCGTGATACCCACAGGGAACTCAAGAGATTTGATGGGATGGAAAAGGGCCTGGGCCACGCTCCAGCTCAGCACCTACAGCTCAGCCTCCCTGAAGGGGCATTTTTTCGGCTGCTTCTCGCTCTCAGGAGGCAGCACATTGGTAGCTCTGCTCCATCTGCACTTAACTCTGGCTGCAAAGTGCATTTTGACCTTGCTGATGCCTTGACTGCATTAGCTGTCCCTTCAAAAGCCCACGGTGGAGCTTCCAAAGCTCCTGGCCCCATAGCACATCCTGAGCAAACAGAGGCACCCGCTTGGGATGACCCTCCAGCACACACTCAGGGTCTGCCCTACATATCACCCTCGGTAAGCCTGGATCTCTCCGTGTCTCTCYAATCCAGATCATTAGTGATGCTCCCCCAAGCCCAGGACAGAGATTTAGGGATGCCAACATCATSTCTTCCACAGTCTGTTCACTTTCTAATTATCAGCCAGCAGCAGCATTTCGTGCTGGAGCACCAGGAGGGATTAAGAGGTGTTATCTTCRACTGCTGCCCACTCGCACATCTCATGTCCTCACGGGCTGGAGAAGGTTGCCAAAGCAGGCAGGATAGGCTGCAGCCACTCAATTTGTGCTCAAATTAATTCCCAAAACCCCCCAGATGAACTTGTGAGCAGGGGATCTCCCTGTGGGGATGTCTCCACCACCAGAGCCTCTCACAGCAGCAYGGAGGCAGTGAACATTCCAGCACTCTACCAGCCCCCCAAATCCCTATCCATGGGGGGCCAGCAGCCCAAACTCCCTGTCCAGGAGCAGAGGGATGAGCAGCATCACACCCTGAGCAGACACTGAGCCCCCAGGGATTCCCACACTCCCTGGACGAGAACCGAGCAGGGAAGCCAACACCCCACTCCTGCATCCCTCAGGTTTTTAGGTAAAAACATGCAYATCAGACTCCTAAAAATGAGCCAAATACACACCAAAGGAATTAATTTTTTTATTTGGATAAGTGTCCAATATATTCTGACATATCTTAARCCCCAGGATGACAGCACTGACAGAGGGAAAACATTATGGAGCTGAAAATGAATATCTCGTTTCCCCAGGGAGACGCATGAGTACAAAAAGTCAGGGAGTCCRAGCAGTGAAAAGTACATCGAGTTAYTGCAATTCTTTTGTTCGTGGCCATCTGCTGTGCTAAYGGCTCTTTCTGCAGCCTGGCCCTTCGAGGATGTTTTAATTCCTAAACACTGCTGGGCTCTTGCTCTGCGTCCCTGTGTGCTCCGAGGGCGGCCGGAGCGGGATGGAGATGTCTGCGTGCTCTGGGGAGCACCTGTGGTTCTGTTCACAGCCAGGAGCACGTGGGTGTCCCCTGCAAGGCCACCAACACTCCTGAGGGGTGCCAGGTGTGGGACCAARGCACCATCCACCCCCTTCATCCATCCCCACGCTCCATGGAAAGTGCAAAACAGGCATYGCTTTCCCTGGATGCAGCCCAGGACGTGCTCTCATGGGAATTCACAAAGCTGGAGACCAAGCAGCTGTCTGAAGACAAAGCCAGGGTTTTTTTTTTTTTTTTAATTTATTATTTAAAATAAATCTGACTTTACGAGAAGGCCCACGAAATTCCTTTCCTCCGTAATCCTGCTGAATTCCACGCAGACAGAGGAGAAAACATCCCAACAATTTCTAAGCTCGCGCAAAAGTAGGTCAAAAAACTTCCCCAATGTTTCAACAGCTTGAAGCAATTTAATTGCAAAACCAATACCAAATGCTGACCCCTCCCTCCTCAGCAGATTTATGAGGGTGGTAAAACCTCGCC